GGGAATTGCTCTTATCCAATGAAATACAGTGAATGGTGACTTCCCTGTATGGGAAGCGGCCACCAGGTGTCATCAGAATGCTTTGATTTTTATTAATTTTCCATTTTGTTTAGAAGTGTGGGGATGCTTTGCATTTTTCCTGGAAACTTTGTTGAGCTACAGATAACCCGAACTGCTTATGCTACGAGTTCATTGAAAAACTCACACAGCAGTTTCTAACTGCAATACTTTAATAGACTACTGATAGGAGGAAAATAGGAAGCACAATAAAACAGAGAAATGGGACATGTAAACACAAATTATTATATGTGTTCTTTGCTCTAGTCATTTAAAAGATGGGGATAAAGGCAGTAACCTAAATCATGTGGGCCAACTTTGTATTAGTAGAATGTCATTGCAAAACAACAAGCAAGGCAATTAAGGTGTGTAGTCAGAAAACACTAATATTTGAAATAGGTTTCCTTTTCTTTCTACCTGGTTCCATCCTCCTTTCTTTTTAGGCCCTTTCGGCAGTTTTGGTGTCCTAACGTTACGTAGAACTTGTTTGGGGCTTTATTTATTGCTATTTAATTTAGCTGTGAATGTGTTGTCATATTTACAGTAGTTTGGATAATTTAATGTGGTTTGGTTAGGTTCTTCTATATTCACTGAGCTATTGCTCAGAAAATAGCTGGATAACTATCAAGAATTTTCCTTCTATTTGTTTCTTTTTTATTTTATTTTTTTTGATTTCTTTAACTGTATAAGAAATTAAGAGAACATTTCAAGCCAAAAAAAATCCTCCTTAGCAGTTTTTTTATAGTTCATACTCCCTTTCTGCATCTTGGTTCAAGTTATCCAGAAAAATGCTTCTCAGCATGGAGAAGGGACATTTGTTTGCCGGTGCCCTTTCCATCCGTGTTAGCACCGCTACCGCTCCGTGGGTATGCTCCAGCAGCGCTCCGAGACAGTTGTAACCCTGGCTCTGGTGAGGGAGACCTCTGGTTGCTTTCCATGCAGAATGGTAGTGTAAAACCTTTTCGTATGCCAAAAAGCTAGAAAAAAAATAATCTCTTCCTGTCTTACAGGTTTCATTTTGTGCAGAAGTTCATGGAAACTAGTAAATCTTGTTGAGTACTAAATTATAGAATAACTTTCTAGGGGAGTAGTATTTTTTAACTTTTTTCGAGTGTCAGCATGCAAGTGTGTTTGTACTTCTCTGCCACATTTCACAGTCCCATGTAGGTAAAACCATCCTACGGCCCATGGTAGGAAAGAGATTCAAACTACACTTACTTTTTTGCTCTTCTCCGAGTCTAACGTTAAAATTGGTCAGAATTGCATCTTGCAGAATCACAGAATGGTTGAGCTTGGAAGGGACCTCTTGGGATAATCTAGTCCAACCCTCCTGCTCCAGCAGGAACACTTAGAGCACAGGGCACAGGGTGGCATCCAGGCGGGTTTGGAAGATCTCCAGAGAAGGAGACTCCACAACCTCTCTGGGCAGCCTGTGCCAGGGCTCTGTCACCCTCACAGGAAGGAAGTTCTTCCTCACATGGAGATGGAACTGCCTGTGTTTCAACTTGTACCCATTACCCCCTGTCCTGCAACTGGCCACCGCCAAGAAGAGTTTGGCCCCATCATCTTTACATTCTCCCCATGTAAAATCATGTTATTTTGAGAATTCCCACAGACCAAGTGCCTCCTTAGCACTTGTAGAAATCCTTGAAGTTTCCTTTGTGGACCTGATGAACTATCTAAAGTGTTTGAGTTACACAGTGCTTTTTGTCCATAAAATCAGTATTATGGAAATATCTTTCCTGAAACTTCAAAAACTTCTTTTGCTTATGTTCCTTATTTTTGCCTATTGTTTTATCTATGTCCCACTCTGATAATAGTCAAAATTCTTCATATTTTAAAATTCAAAATAGGAATGCTGTTGAATTTCAGAACATGAAAATTGGGGCGTTATTCAGCACTTTTTAAAAGGGACTAGTGCATTTTTCTTTCATTCTCTGTCTTGGACTAGCATATGAATTCTAACAGCACTTGAACTGCATGTCTACCCACCTCTTTTGTAGAATCTCTCTTCAAAGTCGAGCTGATAAGTGGTCACTGCAACATTTGGCTGATCTGGAAGCAAATGGATATTGAACTGGGGAACCTGGCCTTTTGCTCTTCAGTTTTTCTCCTATCTTGAAAAATATATTCTCTATGACAGGAATTCATCTTTTATTTTGTTATTTTTGCCTTCTTCTTTTTGTCCTTCCCTGCAAGTACTTTCAATGGTTTGGAGGCAGAAGCAAGAAGGGTGCGAGCGATGGACTGTGGGGTCCATTTCCCTATGATACCAGTACAGCCTTTCCTGATTTCTATGACAAAATGGATTTAATGAGTGCAAATTGTCTGAGTTTGTCAACTTGTCATCACTCAAGTGATGACTGTTAGCATGCATTTTATTTTGTTACTGTAATTATTGCAGATGTGTCGGTGTGGTAGCTGCTTTCAAAGTCTCTGAAAGCCGATAGCTTATCTGGAAGTTTCCTCTGGAGTTCCTGGTGCCTAAACATGACGACTGGCTCAGAAAAAGAATATGATCACAGCCACATAGCTTGCTATTCCAACATTCCTACACTACAAGGAACAATACATGTTTGTAATCAAAGGCACCAAATGCTGCTAGAAATAAAGTTGATCTTGGTTCTTTTTGAACCAAGAATATTGCTGTCTTCTGTATTCCATCTATCAAGCAAGCATTAAAGGAAGCCAGCTAACTTCCTAGGGCCCCAAGAAAAGACCTGCAATGTGATTTAGGAAGGATGTTCTGCCCTTGAATATGAGTAGTTGCTTATTTGGCACAAAGGTCTTACATTGAGATGAGTTGTTCACATTCAGTTTTGTGCAGGCTATTTAAGGAGCTCATTAAAATGATCTTGCTTCATTGTGTCTATGATTTCATTGAAAGAATTGATTTGTTTGAAAAGAGGAATTTCTAAGGCAAGAAAGAAAGTCTGTTTTTCATATGTCAAATCTCTTACGAACACTATAGATTGGATTTTGAATACTTGGAGATGGTAATATGCTATCTGAGAAGTACTTTGGAAATTATAATGCCAGGATTAATGTAAAGAATAAAAATGGTAGAAGAATTTCATACCTGTAAATGTATTTTCTTTGGATTCTTCTAAATGCAACCATACCCCTTTCCTTGGAAGAGCTGGCATATGTTCAGAAAGAAAAGTAAATAAATATCTTCTGAGCATTAAGTTAAGAAACTTTGCAGTTCATTACAGGTTTATGGATCATTAATGAATTGCTTGCTCTTCTGATCTTAAATTAAAATTACTACTTTCTAAATTTCATCAGAGGATTAGGGAATGCAAGTCTTAAATTGTAAATCTCAATTGCACATCTATTAGCAAGGAGGAATTCTATACTATTATTTGGACTATCAGAAGAAAAAATAGAGAAAGCACTCAAGTAGATGTCTTTTTACATGCTGGTATGGTATATGGTGCAGTTCTGTACAAAAGCGTCAGTCATTTGGGGACAGAAGATATTCCTTTGGATGCAATAAAAACATTGGAGGAAATTAAACATTAAAACAGCCTCCATGATTTTGACCATTTCCAAATCCTGATGCATAGAGAAGTGTTAGTGTAATGCTTTCCCTCAATAACTATGCAAATATCCAACTATCCTAAAGAAGTAAAATGTATTTTTACAGTTTTCAAAGCAGAATTATCCGTCCATATGTCTCATCAGCATAGAAGTGTGTACATTCAAATCCTCACCTTATATATGAGGAAACGCATACATTTTCACGTTACAAGTGCATAATGCACAATAATATAAATGCGTAACAAAGCCAAGTAATTGTGCTAAAGATTCTTAGTCGAAGACTTGGCTGATATTGCCAACAGAGTTGCTGAGCTTAGTGTTTTCTACATAGAAATACTCAGGCCACAGCAAGCTGCATCTTTCAGGACTCTTGTTCAAAAGCACATGAAATGTGGAACTGGAACTCTTTTTTTTTTTTTTTTTTTTTTTACAAATAACCTCAAAATGCCTGAAGTAAGGCATGGGTGTTTCCAAGCAAAAGAATTTGTTAACCTAAAGCTAATACGGCAGATTTATTTTTGGTTGTATCCTTTAAAGAACTGTTCAGCTACTCTTGATTTATATGAACATTAACAAAAGCTTTATGTTCCAAGAAATCAACACACTTTTGTGTTAGAACAGCTTCATTTCGAACATGGTATGAAGAGATAGCCCTCTGACAGAAGCGAGTTTGAAGGGAGGAAGTGCTGAAGATCTGGCTGCTGTCTCTTTTGCTTGGGCTTGGTTCCTGGTGGCCTGCTGGGTGGGTAGCATCTCCTGATTTCATTGCAGCAGTCCTAGAGCCTGTACAAATCCGTCCTGATACATTTGTGCAATGTGTGAAGTGGTTGTGTGTTGTTGCATTTCACCTTTTTGTTACTTCTTAGAACTAAACTGGGGTCTTTAGAAGGTGGCGGTAGATGGAAAAGCCCTAGAGCTTGCACTTCACATGTTTTTTAGACTTATTTATTACTTTAAGAAGTGTCTTCCCCATTTCTACTATTATGTGATTTTACCAGCATTACAGTGTCAGTACAGCTGTGGAACAGCAAACATTTTAATAATTGTTGTCAAAAGTCACACTTTTTGGCAGGACTTATCTTTAGGCATGTGCTTAAGTTACTATAGCTGCAGAGGGGTTCTTCTTGCATCCAGTACACACTTTTGATTATTAGTTGATAAAATTGGATTCCAGATGCAGAGTCTCTGCTACTGGTATAATCCCTATTTCATCCAAAATTGATTTTGCAAAAAGAAATGTGCTTCAAGTTATGAACCGTATTTGAAATGTGCTCGTTACATCTGTAGGACCCCAGAACGCTCTTGATGCCTCAGTTAGATGAAGGGCCACGCTGCAGCTGGCAATGATGAGTGCAGCAGCTCCGATGGGAGTGGAGGGAATGCAGTTGTACAGCCGGAGGATGGCGACCGCCCGCACTTGTGACCAGCTGGTTCCCCTGCCATCTCCCAAGCGGCCGGTGGCAAGTCTGAGAAGGTAGAAGTACCTGACTCCCAGGAGAGAAGCTTGCAGTCAGCGGGGAAGCCTGGGGAGCACAAGCAAAGCGTTGCTGAGATGGCTTCTCTTGCCTGCAGGGGATCTTACTGTGCTGGATCCATCCTTCAGGTGCTCGTAGTTACAGTTCAGGCAGGGTGGGTATGGTGTGCAACAAATCCATGCAGGAAACTAGGAGGAGGTCTGCCCACCCCATCTGGCTATGAAGTACGACTATCTCACCAGGAAAGCGGAGGCATGTGTTGCTTCAATCGTATTTTAGAGATGCAACTGTTGCTGAGCAAAGATCAAAGCGGAGAGAAACTGAGACATGGTTCAGTCCTGTGGTTAGATCTCAGCTGAAATCTGGAAAACTGATGAATTGCTGTGACCGTGGCCCCAGCAGAGGGTGGAGATGATAGCTAGCAATGCCTACCCCAGAAGATGCGCAGCTGGCCTGAATGCAATTTTAAGAGAACCAAAGCGAATTTAAGGAAAATTAATTCCTTAAATAATTGAAGGATACTTTTGAAGTTGTTTTCTTTTTATACAGATTTCTTTCTAGCATAGGGTGTCCCCACTAATGGGACCTCCTCTTAGCACTCTGGGTGCCATTTGTGTGTAGCTGGGACAGAGAGCAGTCTGCCTTGGGGAGTGCATGCAGGGGAAGGTTGTTCTGGGGAACACTCCACTATGAAATAGAAACAAAATGCCTAGAAGCAAATTGTTAACTCTAGCTATGTCTAACTCGTGAAGTGCAGTCGAGGAGTTACTGCCCTGATGATGCTTGTTGCTTGTTCCGGGAATAGCTGGGAGCCTGCTGTTCCTTCGGACATTCCTGCCTACGTATGAGGCCGGGAGCGTCCCCCACCCACGTGGAGCAGGCGGTTTATCAGGGAACGAAGGTGGACACGCGTGTCCCCATCTACTGTCAACGGGGTGAATGTGGAATTAGGTAAGAAGGCTGGAACATGAGATTACTTTGAATGTTTTCAATATTCATGTAGCTGTCTTTAGTTTCATACTGCATTTAGGGAAATTACTGCCGCCACCTATGGAAGTTTGTTTTGCCTTTTCGATTTTTTTGGTCGAGTGATCTAGACCAGTTTGAAAAGGTGAAAGAAGGTAAATATTTTTTCCTTAAGTGTTTGAGTAGTTCAGTAAGCGATGCCAAACAGTTGAACTGAAGGTTGAACGCTAGAACAGGATGTGCAAGGCGATCTGAATGTGTCGGGCAAGCCTTGCATGCTGAGCTTTGCAGTGGAGCGCAGGGAAAGATTAACTTGCATGGAGAGTCCGAGGAACGAGGCCGAGCCTGCAGATCTGCATGCAGGTGATCACCCTGTTTCCTGGGGCTGCGCGTGGCACGAGAGGGTTGTTGTGGGGCTGCTGCCTCCCCTGTGGCTGGGAGCCCCCACCTCAGGGGCTCTGGATCGCTGGCCGCGAGTGGTTTGGAGTTCCTGCCGGAGGTCGGTCTAGGTGCGACAGCACTTCAAGGTTTACGTCAAGTTATGGCATGACTTTGAATGGGCAGGAAGGGTGGCAGGAGAGAGTGTGGGGAGAAGCTGGCAATGCCCCGCTCATTAATAAGGCCTCAATGTGCACATTTTTGTCGATGAGAAACCACAAATTATCCAGAGACACCTTTTGATAGTGGAAATTTCCAGTGCAGACTATTAGTTCAGTGCTGGACAGGGTCTCTGATAAATCACATGGTCTGAAGGGATAAAGAGGCTGGGTAATTGCTTGGTCCTGCCAATCGCATTGTAAAGGAAAGGAAAAAAGTGCATTTCTATAGGACATGCAGGAGAAGAGAGGTCTCGGTGGTGGCCTGGGACCTGCTAATGCAGGGCTGCAAGGCAAAGGGCCCAGGGCTGTTACATGGAGACTGACGTTGGGGATGGACTCGTGGCACTTAGCACTGGCATAATTCCTTCATATTTCCTTAGCAGGATATATTAATAACCCTTTATACCGATTGAACAGCATCATTTCATTTAGTCTTCTTCCTGGGTCCCAAGCAGTGTGCCTAAACCTTCTCAGGGTGAGCTTGCGCTCTGAAGGCTTCTGGTGATGATCGCTGCAGCTTGCTTGGCCCTGATGGCAGCACTGACCTCGGCCAGCCGAGAGCACACACCTGACCATCCCACTTCTTCATTAGTTGCCATAGTTGCTATCATGCCTTAGCCAACAGAGCAAAATAATACCGCAAAAACACAGGGGAGCCCTGACTGGGGCCTCCGAAGGGCTGCTGTGGTCTGCACGTGTCATTTGCCCACTTAAAAAGCGAGCATAGGGAGGTAGGTGTAGGTTGGGGCAGTGCATTAGCGTAACGAGACCTGCCGTTGAAAAATGGCTCCCTGGAATGTACGCAGCTGCTGTGCACTCAACTGCTTATAGGCTTTACATAAATTGTTGTTACGCAAAAAACGCCAGTTGCTTTGCACTTCTGTAGGTACTGAGTCCAACTGATCTGGGTATATTTTCCCATTCAGTACATTGTTGAACTGCTTTAGCCTCAAAACTAAGCATGAGTGGTGGTGTTTTGAGTGTGTTTTCTTCTTGTTTGTCAGCATGTTCTTAATTAGATTCTTGTACCCTGTATTGTCCATATCGTACTCGGTATGAAGATTGCAATTGCTTAATCCTGTCAAGAAGTGCTTACAGTTGTGGTCATGGCCTCATTCAGTGGCTAACTGAACAAAAAACTGGGAACTAGGATCTGCAGCAAACTGATGTGTAAAGCACATAGATAAACATTTTGTATTTACTCATCTGTTAAATGCATCTTCAATTCTCAATAGCTTCATTTCAAAATGAAAAGGTAATAAATGTCAGGGTTTGATTTCCACTTTCCCCCATTCTCCCTCCCTTCTCCCCCAAACTGTGTTTATGGATCAGTTCTGCAGGGGGCATGTCCCTTCAGGACCTTTAACAGCAGGAAGGTCACCCCAGGGAGTTGAGAAAAATCTTGTTGTTAACACTTTGTGCTGAGCTTCTAGAGGTTTTTCCTGTCTGGACTCTTGTTTCCTGTCTTTCCTGTTTATTTTTTCTTCGGGAAGTGATGTTCTAGAGGATATCTAAGGAGTGATAAAGAATGATCTGAATATTCCTCCCTAACAAACCCCTCTTTCTCTAGGCTTATTTTTCCGTTCTACTCTGTGGCATGTCTAAGCAGAGGAGGGGAAGCTAATTCTTACCATGTTTGTGTGTTGTGCTGGTTTTATTTTGCTTGTTATTTTAGCCATGGCCATTTCCTCCTAAGAGCGTTTGACTTCAGGACCTTGAGGTTTCTAATTCAAGAAAAGTTGGGCATCCTGTGGCAGGTCCTCTGGAAGCTGTTACGTTTAGAGTATCCTAAAAAATCTTCCCAAAACAAAAGTCAGATTTGTCTGCCAAAATTAAAGATGATAAAATATTAAGCAAGTAAATAAAACAACCTTGTAGGGACGCTATGCACTTGTAAGTCTCATTGCTTCACAGTGCTCACTGCTAAATTACAGAATCTTTTCTTGGAGAGTTGAGCACTTACTCAATTACAAAAAAAGCTTCTGAAGCCAGTGCTCGCTTCGTGGTGCTCATCACAGAGAACTCTGTTAACCCTGGGCTTAGAATTTGGTTTGATTTTCAGGTACCACAAGCTGAGACACCATACTGAAAACTCAGCCTTGTCTCTTTCATTGTGCCTGTCTATCCACTGTGATTTTAATTTGATTTAAAAAAAATCATTTTTTTAAAATTCGAGCCTTGTAACATTTGAGTGTGTGTAAAACTAATAATAGCTCTTTTATTTTATAGGTACTAAGCCAGATGATCTGCAATTGATAATATCCTTGTTAAGAATGGATGGGGAGGATAATCAGAAGAGAGATGATGTTGATGAGAGTTCACAGATATTAGCAAAAGACTCCCTCAGAAAGACGCCAGGAGAAGATGCTGAATGTGCCCCTTCATCTCAGCAGAAAACAAGGCCCGCAGCAGGGGAGGTGTCCACGGACCTCGAAAGGAAAAGAGAAGAGAAAGACACAAATAAAAGGGCATTGCTAGAATCTTCAAACTCTGACGTTTCTGAAGCAGATAGACCTGAAAATGTCTCCAGAAAAAGAAAGCTGAGTTCCTCAGAACACATGAAAGATAGTGAAAGGAAATTACAGAAGGGCCTACTTGGAGAAGCAGTTAGTATAGTAGATGGAGCTGTAAAGCAGGAAGGAATCACCAGCTGTCTTGGTGATGACATATTTAATTCAAATGTGATGTGCCCGCACTGTGATTTCAAATGTGCTGATGGTGCCGTATTGAAGATTCACTGGGAAAATAAACATTCACAAGAGGTTCCAGCTGCTGTTCCTGAAAATATGCCTTCTTCAGAAGAAATCAGTGTTAGCTATTCGGTTGGAAACACAGGCAATGATCTTAAAAGCAAAACATGTAATCAGCTTTTCCTCTCCTGCTCTGACACGGGAAAACACATAGCAGAAAGCCACTCCAGACAATCCAAAGAGCAAACATGCCCTCGCTGTAGTTGCGCAGCAGAACACAGCTCAGCATTACACACGCACACTAAACAGGATTGTGAGAAATCCAAGGTATTTTGTTGTGATCTGTGTGGTTTTCAGAGCGTTGAGGAAAATCTCCTAAACTCTCACTTGCTTGGCAAGACGCACCTTCGACGCCAAAACCTTGCTGCGCGGGGAGGGTTTGTACAGATGCTGACCAAAAAATCCTTTAATAAACAACAATCTGCTGCAGGCAGAGAGAGGACTGTGAGAATGAAACCCGGGACCAGTAAATTAAGGATAAGGCCTGCTGATAAAAAAGAACTAAGCAATGTTTGCAGTGCTTTGAAAGGCTCCAGAAGAAGCTTGTCTAAACAAAATGATGGTACTGACCTTGTTGAAGTACCGTCTTTGAATGCTCCTACTGAAAAGCCAGCTACTATGACAAAGGAAATGTTACTTCCTTCTGGTGTTGAAGAAAATCATGAAGTCCATACTGGAAAGCTAGAAATGCCAGGACCCTCAAAAGGCATTTTGCCTGAATTGGAACACTCTCCAGCAGCCAAAAAGCTAGTTAGCAATTTAAACTTGACAAGGAGATTTGATAGACCAGAACATAAAAGAAACATTGTATTGCTGAGGACTTCATTTGGGCGAAGTAGTTCTTTTAGATTAAAAAGGCAAGTTAAAAGAAGATATAATTTGTTGGGGAGCACTAAGAAAGGCGAGTGTGATCCTCCGAGAGTACATGTGAAGCCTGTCTCCAGCACACAGCTTAAAGCTGGGGATTCAGGACCTACTTGGCATACAGAATTAGAAACGCGTGATAAAAAGCAATATGAATCTACTTCAGGAATTCAAGATCTTACTCTAGATAGGTCAAATACACTTCCTTCCAGCACTACGGACACAAAAAATTCTCAAATTAAACTTATTGATGATCATAGTGTTCATCATACTTGCAGTTACTGTGATACTGTTTTCCAGAACAGAAAAAGTTTGGAAGCTCATGTTGTAAAGCTTCATACAAAAAAAGTGCAGTTTCATTGTCAGACATGTAGTTATTCCTCTCTAGTCAAGGAGGACGTGCAGCAACACTGTCAGGACAGTAAACACCAGGTGGGAGCCTGCAGCTTTAGTTGTCAGCTTTGTTCATTTACTTGCTTGAATGTGATAAACCTTCAAAGCCATATGCGTGAGGAGCATGGTATGTCCCATAGTTGTCCGAGTTGCCTTCTCTTTTTTCTAACGGAAGAAGAGCTGGTAAATCATCAAAAACATGAGCAACATGATCAGCCAGCTACTCCATTGAATAACAGTGATGTGTCCTTGCAAGTGGTAACTTATGCTGCCTTAGAATCAAACAACAGTCAAAAACTTGAACAGGATATGGAGGTGTCAATGAAAGAAAAAACCCCAGACTCCTTCCTAGCGAATCATAGGAATGAACTGAAGCATTCTGTTCTGAATAAAACCCAGTTTCAGTGTAAGAAGTGTTTTTATAAGACAAGATCTTCCACGGTTCTTACGAGGCACATAAAGCTCCGCCATGCACAGGAATATCACTTCCTTTGCAAAGCGTGTAATCTTTACTCGCTGAGTAAGGAGGGAATGGAGAAGCATATCAAAAGAAGCAAGCACCTTGAAAATGCCAGGAAAAATAATATTGGGTTACGTTTTGAGGAATGTATTGAAAGGGTCTGTGTTGGTGTTGGTGGTATGAGAACAGTGATGGAGCCTTCTATTTCTGGGAGTGTGAATGCTGACTTAAGTAAAGAACTTATGCATGTATCATCCTCTACTGGGGAAAACATATCAAGAAATAAGGAACTGGTACCAGCTGATGAAAGAATTGGTGACAATGAACTGGTTTTAGCTAATGCACCGAGGAGAGGGAGACCCAAAGGCACTATATCTAGGACATGCACTCACTGTGGTCTTCTGGCCTCCAGCGTTACAAATTTGACCGTTCACATCAGACGAAAGCACAGTCATCAATACAGCTATTTGTGTAAGCTTTGCAATTACTATACCGTGACCAAAGGAGATATGGAACGTCACTGTGCCACCAAGAAGCATAGAAGTCGTGTTGAAATAGAAGGACACGGAAAACAGAACTCGGAGATAATTGTTAGCCCTGAAGGAGGTAATTTTGAATCTGGAAGCAAGAAAGTTAGTAGCCCTACGACTGTTTTGCATGAACACGTTGACGATGATAGCCAGTCATCAGATGTGGAAAATTCTGTTGTAGAAAATCAGGAAAATGACCAAGGAAACTCTGAGGTAAAAGCTGAAAATGCCCATCGGCTGCCAGATCTGGAACATACTCAAAATTCTTTAAATATAAAACAACGTATATTTTTGGAAGCAGCTGGGGATACCCAAGAGGGTGACCCGTGCTTACAGAGAAGAGCAGGGGGTGCAAGTGACAACAAGTGCATACACTGCGACTTCGTTGCTCACTCTTCTTCTTCTTTAGAGCTGCACGTGAAACGAAAGCATACGAAGCAATTCGAATACTACTGCATGGCTTGTGACTACTATGCTGTCACTCGCCGAGAGATGATTCGACATGCAGCAACGGAGAAGCATAAAATTAGAAGAGAAACTTATGTTTATTCTGCTGGGGAGGAAGCAGACACGGCGAATATCGCTAAAGAAGCCACTGCTTTGTCTCAAGAGGAGTGTTATCGTGGTCCAACACAATTAGAAACTGGTTTAGATGCAATAAAATGTGCCAAAGATGCAGCAGAGGATGATCATATGAGTAAAAGCTTAACCGAGGGTTCTGTCTTAGATGAAAATGCATCTCCAGAAATGCCTCAAGAAGGCAGTTCCCAGAATACAGTAGAAGCTGAACTTGAAGAGGAATCTAAAAATGGAGGCAAAAATCGTTTTTGTGAAGCATTCCAACAAGCTCCTCAGAAAGACCAAGTTGTTACGCTCGGTAAGGGGGTATCAGTTAAAGAAGAAGATGCTCAGCCAGATCTTCAGGAGAGCAGCCATGCTCAGGAGCTACCCCACTCAGGCAACCATTGCACTGTAGAAAATCAAAAGGGGTCAGGTGACACAAACGAGAATGCAGGAAAGGGTGAGGAAAGCCTGGAAGCAAGCAGAGCAAACCCTGGAGCAGAATGTAGAAACACAGACGTTCTCGAAGAAATACACCTAAAAGAAAATAATCCCCTTGGGCTGACTCTTACAGAAACAAGTAATGCAGTAGAGCAATCAAATTTTGCTGAAAACATTGGGGAAACGGTACAAAATATACATAAATTAGAGGGCGACAGAAGTTTTGAAGAGGAGCCTACTGGGGAGGAGGAAGAAGCCCTTATGGAAGCACAACATGAAGCAGAAGTAACTATAAATAACAATGTTTGGGAGGCAGATGGCTCGGCAGCTGAGGGCATGCAAGAAAGTAGTAATGAGGCTTTGGGAACAGTTATCAGTGCTGATGATAAAGGAAAGATGCTGCCGAATTTTGGCAAGTTTGATTCTTCCATAGTAAGATTAAAAGGCCATCAGGATGGGGAGCCTGCTGACCAGCCTGAAGAAGGGCAGCTGCCGGGCGGAGGGAAAGCTGGCGAGCTCCCCACGAGGGCAGACACGTCACTGAGCAGTGCGAAGAAGAAGAAATCGGAAGGAATTTCCCCCGGGGAATCGACACGTATTCGCTGTGATGACTGTGGTTTTCTAGCAGATGGTTTGAGCGGACTAAATGTTCACATAGCCATGAAACATCCTTCAAAAGAAAAACATTTTCACTGTTTGCTCTGCGGAAAGTCATTTTACACAGAGAGCAACCTGCATCAGCACTTGGCCAGTGCCGGGCACCTGCGAAACGAGCAGGCGAGCGTGGAGGAGCTGCCCGAAGGAGGCGCCACTTTCAAATGCGTGAAGTGCACGGAGCCCTTCGACTCAGAGCAGAACCTCTTCCTGCACATCAAAGAGCAGCACGAGGAGCTCCTGCGGGAGGTCAATAAGTACATCGTGGAAGACACGGAGCAAATAAACAGAGAGAGGGAAGAGAATCAAGGCAACGTCTGCAAGTACTGCGGGAAGTTGTGTAGAAGTAGCAATTCCATGGCCTTCCTAGCTCACATCCGCACCCATACAGGTATGAATGTTCTCCTTGCACCCACTGCCTGTCAGACAGAGTGGGTGGTACTGCTGGTCGTCTTCTCCTTGTTAATCTCATAGCCATTTCCTATGAAATAGGAAATTTCATGCAGCCTGATGAACCAGTGATGAAATGCAAAGTCACCCAAGTATGTGAAGGAGTATGAAGGTGCAGTGATGAAATGGCACAAGATATGAGAGCCTTGTAAGCACAGCTGTCCTTCTGCTCTTTGTCCCACATAAAGAGATTTCCTTCCCTTTATCTAGCCCTTTGTTCTTAAATTCCTATAATGAAGCAGTGCTGGTTTGAGAGAAGTTAGCCGCTCTCTGCAACTTTCTCCTCATATCTAAGTAGTTTATTTCAGTTTGGTTCAGTTGCACTTGTAGCACTGCGTAATGCTTCCAGACAGTCATTTGCTATTATATCTCTCCTTAAGAAATACAAATTATAAGCATCCAGACTTTTCATAGAAATAAGCTTCAGGAACTAGAATAGGTCAGTCTTTTTGGCAGATAGTGTGTAGTGTCGATGTCACGCACATGGATGTAGCATCTGATTTTGTTTCTGTGCTAATTATGCTTTCAGTTCCCTTTTATGTTTAATTTTAAATGGAAAATTTAAAAACATTTTTTGTAGAAAAATGCATAAGCTGCAGTTCTAAATTTATGTAAAAATTCACTGCGATGTTTCTATAAACCTGCCATACATTCTTTATTTTAAATAGACAGCTTTTCTAAATCACTGAGCTCTGCTTAGACAAGTGGTGTCTCCATGGTTGAATTTATGAGTGGATTTGAATAATAAATTCACATTTCAATGAACATATTTTCATTAAAACTGTAAGGTTTATTTTACTGTACTTTTAAATAATGGCTTATTATGGAAGCTATAGTTTAAATTCATGCAGTATTTGAAACTTTGTGCACGGTTACAAGGAAGAGAACAAAAAGGTAAGAAAAAAGAAATGTAAAAGAAGTGGTAATTCCTGGCATAATCCTAAAATAGTTTTTTGAGTTTTTATAAAAAGGCAAGGACATGACTGGACAACAAAGTTTAAAATTAATTGTGAGGAACGCAGACATTGTATTTCAAATCTTTCAAAGTATTCACACAATATTCATGTATACCAATAGTTCACATACCTTCTATTTTAATCTTGACTTCTGTCCTGTCAATAATGTATTTATCTACACAGTTTCAGCTAATGTTAAATGCACATGTTAAGTCTTGGGAGGGACATTCATGTTCACATGGTCAGAACAGCTATGTAAGCCCTTAATATGCCCTCTTATGGCAGATAAAACTGAATAAAACTAAGGGGAAGATGCTAATGGAGCTCGCTTTAGAATTCTTTATGCAACTGTCTGGTCAAGACATGTTGCTTATAATTGATGTGTCCATTACTTGAATTCTCTTGTAATTATAGTCAATAAGTCTTGTAAATGTGTTAAAGCTCACTAAAAGCATACAAATTCAAGAACAGAGTAAGGCTAATAATTTAAAATAATCAATGTAGGCATTTCAGCACTTAATTTCCCTTGTGTGTTGATAGCTGATCATTCTTAATCCATTAAGATTTATTTAGTCGTTTACAATGCAAAATAGGTTTGCACTGGTCACTTGTGCCATTTGAAAATGTCCACCAGGTTAAGTGCAGAATGTAGTCCATTAGTCTTCCTTGACTATATGTATTAATTGCATTTAAAATCAAGTTAATGTGGATGTGAAAGTGAGGTAACTATCAATATATGACAAAGCAACCCTACTTACATACCTTACATCATTGATTGTAACATTTAGTAAAAGTTAGTGTACTTTTTTAACATCTTGTGTGTAGGTCTTACCATGGAGTATATTTGTATTGTGCTTTGGAGTGGCCCTAAATATGCAAAGTGGGAACAGAATACATTTCATTTTGCAAGTCACTTTTGGTGGTGCTGTTGGAGGGGATGGAGAAGGGTTACAGAACAGCCGTTAGTCTCTGCTCTTTCTCATGGCACCTTTAAATGATTCGCTTTTCTGATGCTCTGCTTGTTCACATAAAAAAAGTAATGCAGATACTTTTGTTAACAGGGAATGGAAAGAAGTTTCTCTTCTGGTCCCTGTTTTCATATTTTTGCGATTTTCTTATGTATTTTATATATTTTTTTCTTCTAATCTGTGTGACAATGGATGCAGTTGAAAGAGATGGGTGACAGAGCGCTGGCACAGGCTGCCCAGAGAGGTTGTGGAGTCTCCTTCTCTGGAGATCTTCAAAACCCGCTTGGACACAGTCCTGTGCCACGTGCTCTAGGTGACCCTGCGTGTGCAGGGGGGTTGGACTAGATGATCTCTAGAGGTCCCTTCCAACCTTGAGCATTCTATGATTCTGCGATTCTATGGTTTTTGGTTATTGGGAATGGTGGTGGAGTCACAGCAGTTGTAACACTGATGGTTTGCACTGGTTTCTAACGGTGGCCAGGCAGAGCAGTGCAATACTTCCAGCCTGTGTTATCTTCCAAAATAACACCAGGTTGGTTACAGGAGGAGAACCATAGCTTATTTTGCCATAAATATATTTTTCACATAAATATCTGTATATATGCCTATAACTATCTGTAACTTCCTGGGTTTTGTATTAATTTGAGTAATTGTTGATGGGAATTTGTGGGGGAAGGGAGGTGCTAGTGCTGGAAAGATGCAACTAATGATTGCCAGTAAGAGAAACAGACTGTTTCAAAATACCTTTAAGTAATCTAAGAGATTTTCATGTTGCAAATGAAAAGGAAGCTTTGCTAGAGAGGAGATAACAAGCAAGTCCATCACATATTGACAAGTGAAAATGAGGAGGTGTAAAGAAAAATAAAAGGAATAGTAGAGGTGGAAGACTTTTTAGTTTGCAATTGATGCAGGTCCCATAAACTTAATTAACAATCAACATCTGAGGGAAAATCACCTGCAACCGCATCATCGCTGTTTAGTTTCTCATCAGTTTTCTCAATTAATGGAAGTTTCATCCCATATGAGCGTAGTGTCGTGGTATCTAACTTCCCATGTGCTAAGCCTGGGTGGAAATGGGACAGTGCTGTTTCACCAGGTACACCAGATGATGTTGGTTCTGCTTGGTGTAAAACTGAGGCAGTGGGGTTTTTTTTGTTTCGCTTTGTTCTTTTATTTTTATTTTTGGTCTCTATTGTCTTAATGCAAAATTAGAATTATTAATCTCACTCATTTGTGCAAAAAAAATAACAGCATGATTTTGTCCTGTCCTCTTGAACTCTAAAATTTATTCTATTTTTTTTTTCCATTTGTTTGTTAAGAGACGTTTTGTCATTCCTGCCATCACAAATATACACCCTGTTTCCATCCCATAACTCTCGAATTTTGTTTTGGTTAAAAGATGCTATATTAAAAGGTTTTTTTGTTTGTGTTTTTTTTGTGTGTGTGTGTTAACAAAGAGCCAAGTACGAAGCCCATAGTACGACACTTTGCAGAGTTTGAGAACTATTCAAATTTGTGAAAATAAAAGTATGGCTAATAAATGGAAAATTGCTTCAATAATGTTTCAAATAACCTTTTGATAAATGCAGATTTTTGCCCTGTTAACTCAACTTTCAGTGCAACACGTTGACCTGAAATAGAAAATCTTGGTTTGTTCCATCCAAGAACAAATAGGAACAAATGTGGCATCAGCAACCTAAAAGGGAGATGCAATGTTTTTGTTTCAGGGGATAAGTAGTGGCTGTGCCCTGCCAGCACTTGAGTTTTCATGGAGTTTAAATGGAGACGTTAACAGATATTCAGCTATAACAGATATCCAGTGGGGGTGGGGAGTGAAGTGAAGGCCTCAGTGATTTTCGGGTGAGAGCAGTGAACAGAATAATACATTTATGTATTGTCAGCGCTGGGCAGCCACAACTGGCCTGAACTACAGTTTTTCCACAAAGGAGTCATGTAAATGGAAAACAGGGAAGGTTTGTACGGAGGCCCTGCGGGACACCTGCAGGAGCAGAATGAGGAACAAATTTACAATTTAATCAGTAGGAGAGAAACTAACAGTACACAGGGTTGAATCCACATGGTGCTTGAATGCCATGATGTAAAACAGCAGTATAACACAATAGATTAAAAAAAAAATTGTCTGTGAATCTGACCTTGATATTGTTAATTGTGTAATTAGTCTCAAAGATCACAAGTTAAAACATCAACTTTAATACTCCTTTATTTAATGCAAAGAGCGGCTGTTTTATTTGCATGGGTCTCTGTAGTATGCAGTGTTGATTTGAAATGTCACCAAATTAATGATTAATATAGTTTTATCAGGATCATTTAAATAAACTGGGATTTTTTTCAGCGTGATTGATAGAATGTGATTGCTGTTAGCTGCAGCCTCAACCTGCTTTTGACATTTAAACATATAAAGCTGACTAGATATAACCATTCAGGTGCTAAATATATTTTACATCTACTTCCAACAGTAGAAATGGAAGTATTAAGAGATCTGGCTTCATTGTCATTGAACTGTGAAATATTCAACCTTGTCTGCCCGTGCTTAGTACTGTTGACTTTTTTATTTCAGTTAGAAGATTAAAATTAAATGCTTCATTTTTCGTCAGCTTTTGGGAATTAAATTGAAATTTAAGACTCTAAATTTTTTTACTAAGATCCTCAATTTCACCAATGGATTCTTGGAGGATATTCGGTTTTCAAGGGCACAGCACGAAGGTTCATTGATCAAGTATGATATACTGTTAACAATTTTCTTATCAGAGCTCTTTATGTATATTTATTAAAGTTCACATATTTCATACTATGCTTAACTGTATTGGAAAAAGTGCTTCACAAAACATATACTAAACATAATACGGAGAATCTGTGAACATATTGTACTTATTTTTAACTGCAATTCAGTGATTTTGATTTATTGGTATAAGGATTTACTGGTCAGAAAACTGGAAAGTGCTGCAACATACTTGAAAATAACGTTGCTGCGTAATAACCTAGGTAGAGACATGTGCAAAATTTAACTATTACAGTAAAAATGCGTTTTTTCCATCTTCAGTAGAGGGCCACTGTTGAATATGACAAATTGTTTGACTTTTGCCAAGCTGATGTGGTGCAAGAAATAGGTTGGTAAAACTTCCTTGGAGAAATCATTTTAGAATTCTTTGGTCTGCACTAGGCATTTAATATTAAAGTTTGTTCTTGAAATAAATAATAGCCAAAATGTCAATACTTCTGGTTTGCAGAATAATCATAAATTCTTGACCATAAAACAGTCATAAAGGCATAATATTTTATCCCCTGTATATTCATACATTGCATGTCATTACAATAGCTAGGTGATGAATCATTTTCTGTGTGTGACAGAACAATTCTGAAATACCAATGCTAATGTGAAATCTATTCAAAGTCAGAAGACTTGTAAAATTACTTTACTTTAAACATACTTGCTTAAAAAACAAGTACATCTTGCAGTTTTCACCAGCATAAAGCCACTTTAAGACCATTAGCTGAATTTCAGTGGTTGGAGGAAGGAAAAAAAAATGGAGAGCAACTTCTGTGATCTCACTGAGAGGCTATATTCCTAGCATATTGTCTTCTCATTTTAATACTCCTTCTAAAAAGTAAATTATTATTAAAAGTGAAACGAGTAGCTTCAGTGATCTTGAACTTGAGGAAACTCTAATGAGTAATGTATATGGGCTGTCTGTGTCCCCAGAGTTATAAATTTATGTACGAGATGATACTTTTTTGTTAGGCAAAAATCTCGAACAGGTTAAATGGGGGATAGACTTTTTTAAAGGTTATATTTTTCCCAGGAATTCTTATTTCTTTAACCATGGGTAATATATTATTCTAATTCAACTCATATCTTATGCTAAATTTTACTTAGGATCAAAGCCATTCAAGTGCAAGATATGCCACTTTGCAACAGCTCAGCTCGGAGATGCCAGAAACCATGTCAAGAGGCACCTTGGGATGAGGGAATACAAGTGTCATGTCTGTGGGTGAGTAAATTGAAAGAGTTTCCACCATGGTTAACCAGAAGAAGAGTGCAGGATATGCATTGTTTCAAAATTGAAAACTCTGATGTGAGCAAGAGTGGCTAAAATTATGCATGCATATCCTCCTTTCCATTGTTATGGTAAATTCCTTAAATACAGTTATGACATTCTTTTCCCACTTCTAATCCTGCACTGAAGATGAGCAATTTTATGGGCTACAAGGTCAATTTGAACCTGTAATCTGTAAATTGACTAAATTATAGGATGTTCATTCACATTGCCAGGGAGAACTGTAAATTCCATTTAAAGCCATAAAAAATATATAATATAGACTTTACTGTGTGTTTTTTTTTCCTTTGCTATACTGTTATAATTTTAGTACCATTAACAGATTTCTGGACTCCATTAGGGTTCTCATTTGTTACAAAAACAAAACACAAGACTGATTTTCAAACAAATGGATCTAAAATATTGCAGGCTTAAGACTTTAAAAATAAATTGAAGCCTTTTACGTATGTTTGTGTTCTTGTTTGTTACCAAAACCAAAAAATCTTGTTTTTCTTTTTTACTTAATAGTTATTTCCTCAGAAGGATCGTTCATAATGTTTAATTGTCCTTCAAATGTGTTGCATTTAATAGGAAGCATTGAGACTCCTTAATGCAAAACTAATTAATTTAGCAGAAATGTTTAAAAGGTTTTAAAATGCCATGGCATATATGGTACATCATAGGACATTCAAACTTGGATTTTAATACCCTAGTTCTGATTAAAAATATATTTTAATGTTATTATGCTAGAGAAATTAACTAATATATGCATCATATAAAAAGACTCCACTCAAACCTATGTAACCTGCTGTAACAGTCTTATAGCTAATGCGTAGAACAGCACAAGTTCAATTAGATAATGCAGTGCACACATGAGTGGTGTGGGGTGATGGTAGGGATATTATTCAGCGGGAGGTTTTTTAGTATACACTTGCTATACTGATCCACTGGAGGACAAAGTGGGTTACACATTTTAAAGGACAAGGGAATCTTCAGCTAGAAGATGCAGTTGAGTGATTTTCACTGATTCATCTCTCTGTTTTTCCAAATAATTTTGTATGTAGCCTCATAAGATACTTTGGATGCCTTTAGTCACTTAAGAAAATTAATTGCTGACTGCTTGAAGAACAAATTAAAAATATACGAATCTAATTCTTAAGTCCATGGAAGATCAGTAGTAGAATGACTTTTGCTACTCTCTATTTTACAGGATAATTCAAGTCTAAAATGAACATTATGTATAGTAGCCTTTAGTCTTTTTTTTTTTTAATTTTATTCTTTACTGTATCTGACCTACTACAGAGGGTTTAGTATGGAAGGCAGTTAACAACTGCAGATCCACAAGACTGTTTAGAGAAGCCTAAGCTGTGTTCTTTAGAAGCTGTCAGCAAACTTGACAATGGTTCTTTATTCAGGTTCTTTTTAATTTAGACTGAAAAAAATCATCATTTAATTCTCTAAGCATAAGAGAAAGAGTAAAAAAAAACTTCAAAATAGTTAACACGGTGTCTTTTATAAAAAGAAAATTAACATGGTTAGGATTTGGCACAGTTTCTCATTTTTCAAAACCTTATTCCTTCACTTAAGAATTGACATTTTCTTAGGATCTGTTTCAGAAAACACATGACTCTAGATTGTAGTATGACTGTACTACAACAGAGAGCAAAACATTTATGTATGATTGGAACTGCGAACCTGCACGTTAGTGCCTTAACTAAGCTGGTTATGTTGAATGTTGCTGACGTTATGCTGGTAGCCAAACAGGTATGCATTTTCTGTTTTTGTGCAATATTGTATTGCTAAATGAAGCTGTGCTATTCAGATAAGGTAAAACAATCAGCTGAAGACAATACCTTCTGTTCTGGTTTACATACAAGTTTAGTCCTTTTGCAGGTTAAGTAATCACTATATTTCTCTTAATATGCACCAAATATGTATTTTAAGAATTATGTCTTATCACTGATTTAACTGGAAAAGCCATTTTTATGCTGTAGCTAACAGTCCTTGAGAATTGAACTGGATTTGAAGAAAAAGGAATGACCAGCACAGTTTGAACTGGAGTCCAAATCCAAAGGATGGCCTTAATATGGAAAGAGAGAGAGAGAGAGAGAGGAAAAAAAAAAAGTCTAATAGCCTGTGCTGTATTTCTGCTGTTTTAATTGAAACGATAGGGTAGCGTGTAGGTTAAAAAATAAAGTAGCAACATAAAAAAATTGCTAGGATTGGCTATCGGATTAGTGGCACTATAGAGCATTGGTACATTAACACCACTGACAATGTCAATTCATTATCATTGATGGCTAAATAATCTTAGAAATGCTCAGTGGACCTATTAGTTCCTGAACATAAGCAGCTCATGCTGCATTTCTTCATTAGCTTTAATTGCTATAAATTTTACCTTTTTAAAAATCATGCTTTAAAAGGTGAAGTGATCTTTCAGGAACATTAACTCTGTAATTTTGTCACAAACAGAAGGTCCTGCACTATGTTTTCTTTTCTGCAGTAGTTAATATTCTATCCTCTGACTTATAGATTCATAGTAATAAGCCCTCTGCTAGTTGTGAGGATAAATTATGTTTCAAAAGCTTTTGAGTCTGCTAGGGTACTTTTTAAAGGTGAAATGTCAGTGGAACATTGTGCATTGTGGTTTTAGTCTCCAAATACTTTTTTTTTAATAGATTTTCCAGCATTTTTTGTTTAAGAAAAAGAAAGTCCTACCCGTGCTGCTCTGTTGGAGGAGGGGTTTGCTGTGTCTAAAATTTTGCAAATGCTCCTCATAGTTATGTGATACAAAGTAAACAGTATGTAATTCACTTAGTTGTTGGAAAAGGCAGCAATTTAGCTGTGTTGTCTTATTTTATTAATTGAAGTTCAGGGTTTGTTTTTCTTCAGCTGCACAGCAAAAACTACGTGACACAGAAATTGGACACCACTAATGTTTTAACATTTGGAATAAACCGTCTGCTACTCATTTCCTTATCGCAGATGTGTGTTAATTGTTTTCTTTTCCATATCCATGGCTGTAAAATATATCCCATTATTTCAGAGGTAGTATCTATTTTCTGGGAGTAGCAAACTGCTACATATTTGAATTTAATTTTTGAAAGTCTGGCTGTGAAATTGGCTGATACCCTGGGTTAGATAAGCAAATCTTAGTTGCCCAGCATTTAAAATTTTTGTTTCATTTGCAGAGTGGAATGCAGTGAAAAGGCTTATCATGCACTTTTCAAATTTTATGCCTCAGGTAGAACATAAAAAATGCATTGTTCTGCACTTTAGATTTTGAACAGAATTTATAGGCAATATATGATTTTAAAATGCATCTACTGTTCCTTTGCCTTTTTCTTGCTTTCGCTTTCAGAAACAAAATTTTCTTATTTAGATGTTTCAACTAAGAGTGGCAGCTTCTTTGTTTTTTTCCTCTCTTCTTTCATTATGACTTAAAAAAAATCTACTGAAGAAGATGGGTGTAAGGTAGGTTTCGATGTTTAAGAAAATTTTTACTATTTAAAACATGCAAATAAACATTTATCACTACATTTATGAAAAAAAATGCCAGGACATTTGTATTAGTGTGTTCATTATGTTGATTCCAGATGTAGTAGTCAAGTGTTTTAAGGATCCAAAGTATGTATTTGTGTACACAAGGGAAATTGGAGGGGATGAGAAAGGTATTTTTCTTTCTTTCATTCTTTCTTTCTTTTCTTTTTCCCTGCATTTTGCTGAAGTAGATCTTCCCTTTGTATGCATGCGTGTGTTTTTTTTGTGTGTATGAATAAGGGGGTCCGTATATTTTCCTGTTTCTTGGTCCTCAATGTGTTGTGAAACTCCTTTTCCTAATTAAATTCTGGAGCTGTTAGAAGGAGTTCTGCTAAATAAGTCTTTTGTTGAAGTCTGCTTTTATTTTTGGTGGTTGTTTTATATATATATATTTTAATAAGCCTCATGTAAACAACTTTGAAGAACTGTGGTGTCGTAAGCATAGAAATAGCTTCTAATTTCTTTTATTGCTGTTGCTAATGTTAAGGGTAGTCTGGTGATCTTAATCAGTAAGAAGTTCAGTGTTTTAATGACACTGGTTGCTTTGAGGACATCTAAATAAATGTACTAAAATATATTCAGCATATTAGTTAATGTATCTTATTACTTTAATGGTAACAGTGTGCTTTGGCCAGCTCCATCAAAAACATTGTCTGTGTTCCTGTGATTATTATTTTTTTTTCCAAAGATCTTTTAGATTTCCAGATTTCTTTTTAACAGACTACTGCTAATGCCAGGCTACTTTTAGTGAGAACCTTCTCTTAAGATTGCTTTTTGCAAGCGAAAAAGAGTTATTCATAAATTTATTGGTAAGAGCAGGAAAAACATTGTATTTTCAAGGGTATCTTAATGTACTCTAAGGTAAATTAATTATTTATGCTTGCGCAGTTTGGGAAATCTTAAATAGAAAGTTGCTACTCCAGTAGAACTATTTTTGTGCAGTATTACCTAGTTTTTGTGCATTAGAAGGGATCTCTGTGTAGATGATTATAATGTCACTTTCTGACCTTTGCAGCTTGAATAATTGTAAATCATTGCTTCATAACGTGTCAGAGAATGTCTGTACTAGGCAATTAAATGGCAGAATATAATAGACCAAATTATTGCCTGTCATGTTTTCAACAACACAGTTAGTATTTGAGTTACACTTAATCATTACGTGCATTAGCAACTTCATTGGAATCCAGCTTCAGGCTGAGCATGAAATACATTACATTATTTAAACCTCTAATGGTAGAAGTCATTTATTTGTGTTGAAGTGTACAACATGCAGAGTTTCATAAAGCAAGGAACACTTGAGAGCTTAATTTATCCAAATCAAAGTCTAAATGCAGATAAACACAAGTGGCAAAAATTAGTAATTTTTATAGGCT